AGCGGAACCATCGAGGTTGGCAACCACGAGATTATGCTGATTACGGTCATGATTTGGACGCATATTTGCACAATAGTCCGCCAGGTAATCTGTCCGACCTGGACGCGTGCTTGGCCGCCGTTGCACCGGGGCACGCCCAACAGCAGGAAGAGCAAACGTGTTTCTGGAATCGGACTGCTTTCCAAGAGCTCTTGCGTCAACGTCGTGCTCTCCCATACGGGACATTTCCAAACGTATTCGCAGGGTTGTGCGCGCCGAGCTGCGGGGCAGAAAAGCAAGGCGCACCGAACAGATCCTCGGCGAGTTCTGCGATCTACAACGGCTCGCAGCAACAAATTCTTTCCCAGCCCAAAAGAGAAAAGGATGTAACGATGCGCGATGTTCTACTGAATCTTTGGCGAGCTTCTTGGAGAACATCTTCTCGTCTACAGCCGTGCCGCCGCCGGAGATGACCGACCGACGCGTGTTCACCAACATTCCCCAATTCAGCAGGATGGAGCTGAAAAAAGCAATCCGGGCTTTGAATAACAAGAAGGGCGCCGACACTGATGGCATCGTTGCGGGGATGTTCAAGCATGCTTCCGGCACGTTCATCGAGTGGCTATTGTTTTTCTACAACCAGATTCTGTTGACTGGAGAAGTGGAAGAGTCTTGGAAAGACACGTTGTTTGCAATGCTCACTAAGTCTGGGGATTTGGCACAGCCGCAAAACTGGAGACCGATTGCCATACTCAAGACAACATATAAGATATTCTCTCGAATGCTGTACCATCGTCGACGTGACGTCATCGAGCAGGCGCAAGGGCCAGACCAGGTTGGCTTCAGGCCGAACCACTCGGTCGATGACGCGTTCTTGGTCTTTGAAATGGCATGCGGTAAATGCTTAGAATGGCAGGTGCCGCTGTGGTGCGCCAGTTTGGACCTACGCAAAGCTTTCAACCGGATCGAATACGGGCCTCTCTTTGACGCCCTCCAGCGCCAAGGAGTCGATGCAGATTACGCTGTATTATTGGCGAGGCTGTATTCTGGGCAAGTGGGCAGCGTGTCAGGCGCGCAAACTTTTCGCATCCAGCGGGGTGTAAAGCAAGGTGACGTCATCAGCCCGATGCTGTTCAACGCCGCGTTGGAGTTGGCAATGGAGAAATGGAAAACCCGCATAGGTCACGCCGGGTTATTCATCGGAACGGGCGATAACCTCACGAACATACGGTATGCCGATGACATCATGTTATACGCGAATTCTGCCGACGAGTTAGCCGGCTGGATGGAATTGCTGACTGAGGAGCTCGACGCAGTCGGTCTTCATCTGAACCCAGAGAAGACAAGTATTCTCACCACAGAGGAGGGGATGTAGAATTTGTTCATTGAGGTGGGCGAGGACTCAAAGTCATGGGTGGCAGTGATGTTCACAAATATTTGGGTAAAAGTATACCGGCGAATTTGAAGAATCGCAGCGATGTCGAGTTGGGGCGCAGATTTCAACGAGCTTGGCACAAGTTTCACGAACACCGTCATGTCCTCACAGACCAGAACGTTTCTTTAAGACTGCGGCTGAAGCTGTTCCAATCCGTCATTACACCGACACTATCGTTCGGATTATAGGCCGCAGCTCTGACCAAGCATCAAAGACAGTATTTGGACGTCCTTCAAAACAAGATGCTACGTTTGATTGTTGGTTGGAGGCGTTGCGAGGGCGAGGATTGGGCAGACACCATGAGACGAATGCGGGACAGGATTGCCCATGCAATGCATTTTTCCCGATTGAAAAATGGAGCGAATTATTCTGTCGCCGCTTGTTCAGATTTGCGTGCCAGTCATCATCTTCGGACAATGAATGGGCCCAGAAAGTCATATTGTGGAGCCCGCGCTATACGCATGGGGCTACGAGGGCGCGCGGACGCCCTCTGACGAGAGGGGAGGACCGCCCTCAAGGATTTGCCCGTGATGTTTTGCATACTGTATCTCGCTGGTATGAAATTGTACATGAACGTGGTGAAGACGCATTCGTCGAGTATTGTATTCACGCCTGAGGACCGCCCCCGCTCTTCTCCTCCCTCCCCCCCCTCCCCCCTCGGAGGCACCACGTTTGCTCTCCGTTGCGCGCGTGCTTGTTCAGGCCACTGCCCTGTAGCCTCGCCCGTTTACGGGCCAACCCTTGTGGTTTGACCGGGCCTCTGTCTGTCTGTCTGTCTGCAGCCCCACACGGATTGCAAGGTCTCATCTGAACCTCAGAACTGGGTAAGACGTCACTCCGCTGGGCCCCCCAGCAGCCCTCGAAAGTGGCAACAGTTTTTCAGATCGCAGCCTCGCAGGGATGGCGAGGTCTCATCCGAGTCTGGGTAAGACGTCACTCCGCTGGACCCCCCAGCAGCTCTCGAAAGTGGCGACAGTTTCGCAGATCGCAGCCCCCAAGGGATGGCAAGGTCTCATCTGAATCTGGGTAGAACTTCACTCCGCTGGGCCCCCCAGCAGCTTTCGCGACAATTTCGCAGATCGAAGCCCCACACGAATAGCGAAATCTCCTGGTGGTCCGCGTAAGACGTCACTCCGCTGGGCCCCCCAGCAGCCCTCAAAAGTGGCGACAGCTTCGGAGGTAACAGCCCCACAAGGATGGCGA